CTTGAAGCTTTAACCAGATGCCTTCACAACGTCCTGCACCATGTATAAGGCCACCATCAGCCACAGTTATCCGCAAGGGATGCATGGGTTGTAGAATGTTGAGCCCCTCTTTACATGATTTCTGGTTGATGAAGTTATGAGTGCCACCGGTATCTATGAGTACATGAACTCTCTTTCTGCCCATCCATCCTATTAATCTCATCATAGGATGAGAAGAGTTTCCCTGAATGGAATTAAGGGAAACAGTAGGATCAACATTGTGAGGGTCATTAGACACTTCCTCAGAAACAGGATCAACTTTAATTGAGTCCAACTGGTTTTCCTCCCCAACCTCCATAAGGAAAACTTGCATCTTTTTCTGCTGAGGGCAATCATGTCCAGGAAACATGACAAAAAAAACACAAGTTTTGAGCCCTATGTTCATCCATTTCTTTAGGGGAAAGTTTCTTCTGAAACGTATATGCCGGCTTTCCCAAAATGCTCTTCTAAGAACCTTCGATAATCCCTTTCTTCTCCTAAGGCATCACTTTCTTGTCAAAGGTGTGAGAAACTGTATTCTTCTTCTCACTCCAAGAACTTTGGGTTTGATTTGCTGGCCCCAACCGTTTCTGCAACAAATCCAAGCTTCGTTCTTGCAATTTTGCCATACGAGTAGCTTCCAACACCGTACGCGGGGCGAACATCTTCACACCATTACACAATTCCCGTTGAAGGCCTCCCAAATAGCATTGGAGCTTTTGAGATTCTGTCAACACTGTTCTACCCACCAGATTGTCAAACGATTCCTGATACGCCTCCAGCGAACCAGTCTGTACCAATTTCTTGAGTTCTTCCATAGGTGAATCGAACTCGAGGCTAAATCGCATCTTCAATTCCTCGGTGAAATTCGGCCATGTCAACTGGCCATTCGATCCCTGTTCTAGACTTTGGAACCAACGAAAAGAGTTATCATCGAGAGTGATACTCGCAACCGAAACCTTGTCCCCTTCTTGCATTCCATCCAACACAAAAAAATGTTCGCATTTCGCGATCCAAGATTCCATATCATCTCGAGTGAATTTTGGAAAATCCAGACGCGTTAATCGCGTTGCTGGTCGAGTTGCTCCATCGTCGGCGCCACCATGGCGATGCGCCGCCGTTAACTTTGACATTTGCAATCCAATTCCGTGCATGGCTTCTTGCACATTGGTGAATTGAGTTTCGAAACGATTCTCCAATTCAAGAATTTACCTCGTGATACATGGCTCCACCGTCGCCATGATGCGTTCCTCCGCCTCACGAATGGCGTTCTGCATTCGCGTCGCTTCTGCCATGATTGGTGTGGCCGAGGTCGACAGGCTCTAGATACCAATGATAGGGAAGAGAGGGAGACTATAGAGAGAGTGAGAAAGAAATAATAGAAAGTAGAGATAAGGAAGGAGCATTTTATTTATTCAACAAAAGCATACATTGAATGGTTATTTTCTAACTATATATAACTGTCTAAGCAGTTATAATAACCCTATAACAACTAATAATAGTTGTATACACTAATACATGCATCATCTACACTTCAAGTTCATGGAATAAAACTTGAACCTAGAGGTAGAAAATCAGTTTTCTTGGGGTATAAGAATGGTACGAACAATGTTGTTTTATATGATGTTAATAGTAAAGAATTCTTCATATCTATAAACATTACACACTATGAATACATCTTTCCCTACACAAGAAGCAAGAACAATATCACTTGGGAATATCATGCTCATTAGGATAATATTCTTCAACCAAAATTACCCTTAGATATACCTAGCCATAATAAAGAGGTCACCCATGATTTGAATCCTTTTATTAACCAAAACATATACTAACATGAATTTGATAATGATGTAACACATAATCAAGGACTTTCCACTAATCAGACCTTAGATTAGGCTGAATCCAAAACTGGTAGTTTGACACAAACCATAATTGTTAGGATGAAACTAAGGGTGGCAAAACAATTTCAGCTAGCCGTGCGTGCCCGTTTTGCCTGTAATTTTTTGAGGGACGGTATAAGGTTTTAAGCCGATGCCCTATAATATGTCCGCCTTGCCCCATTTTTCTGGGCTTTTGCGGGTGCGGGCATTAACATACTTTTTTTTGTTGCATTTTTAGGCTTTAAAGGTGTAGTGACCACGGGCCCGTCCTTCCCCGCCCTCATTTTTTTGCAGAGCAGACCAATGTTTTAGGCCCGCATCCTACATAATGCTCGCCCCACCCCTTTTTTTATGGGACTTTGTGTGATGAGTCTAAACGGGACAAGAATGCTCGTTTTTCACCCCTAGATGAAACACACACTAACTTATCTCTCAGAATATGTATTCAATTTATCATCCACTTCAACAGACAAATCATCCTCAAGTAAACTTCCTACTCTCTATCCTATTTTTTCTTTTGATTCCTTATCAAATTTGTCAAAGTCTCGTCATGTCTTTACGACTCCCATCACACACAACATCAAGCCTAAGACTTACAAAGAAGTTTGTTTGTCTGAACATTGACTTAAGGCTATATCATCTGAATTGGAAGCACCGAACAAAGTGGAACCTAAAAAATAGTTAATCTACCAACTCATGGGAAACCAATTGGAAGAAAATGAGTTTACAAGGTGAAATACAAAGTTTATGGCACTATATAGAGATAGAAAGCAAGATTGATAGCCAAGGCATATAATTAGATTGAGGGTTTGTATTTTTTGACACATTCTCACCTATGGCAAAGCTCAGAAGTTATAGGAAAATTCTTGCAATTGCTGCTATTCATAATTGGTTCATACATCAACTATATATGAATAATTCATTCTTGCATGGTGATTTGAAACAAGATGTGTACATGACCATTCCTGAAGGTGTTATTTGTAATAAACCCAACCAGGTCCGCAAGCTTTTTAAGAGTCTTTATGGCTTAAAACAAGCCAGCAAAACATGGTATGAGAAGTTGTCTATTTTACTTGTTCAACAAGGTTACATTCAATCCACCTCAGATTATTCCTTGTTTACTCTCAAAACTGATTATAATTTCATAGCCATTATAAAATATGATGATGACATTATACTAACTAGGAATTCAATGAAGGATTTTTATATAGTTAAGGCTACACTTGGAACAAATTTCAGCATCAAAGATTTGAGACTGATGAAATATTTCTTGGACTAGAGGTTGCACATTCAAAGGAAGGAATTTCTCTTTCCCAAAGGAAATATTGTCTAAACTTGTTGCAGAAATTTGTGCTTCTTTGTTTTAAACTAGTTGCAACACCACTTGAACCATTTATCAAGTATCATGGTGAAGGTGGAAAAACATTTGAGGACATTGGAACTTATAGAAGGTTTATTGGTCGACTGCTATATCTGAACACTGCAAGACCAAACATTACTTTTGCTACCCAGTAACTCATCTAATTTCTACATAATCCCATAATGGTTCATTACCAAACAACTTGTAGAGTAGTAAGATATTTGAAGTACAACCCTAAAAGAGTTCTCACATTCCTTAAAAGCTCAGAGTTGTAAATCCTTGACTACTTCGATGTAGACTGGGATGAATGTCTCGATTCAAAAAGATTAATTTCTGGCTTTTTGTTTCTTTTTAGGATTCTCTTTGATATCTTGGCGTTCAAAGAAGCAACAAAAACTCTCTCGATCTTCCTCTATAGTCGAATACAGAGCATTATTCTTTGCCACTTGTGAGTTAATTTGGTTGATGTTCTTGATGAAAGACCTATACATTACTTGCTCCAAACCTCCTATATTGTGATAGCCAAAGTGCAATACCTATTGCCTCCAATCCTATTGTCCATGAGCTTATAAATCATCTTGAAATTGACTATCATCTTGTGCGTGAAAATGTTCAATAAGGGCTGTTGCGTCTTCTTCCAATTTTATCACAAGAACAACTTGCAAATTTATTAACAAAGGCTTTACCTATTTCTAAGTCCAATAATTTTGTTTCCAAGTCTGACATGATTAATTCACCATACTTAATTTGAGAGGAGCTGTTAAAATTAGTTAATTTAATCAAGTTTGTTACTAACTACTTTTCATTTTCCCGCCTGTTTTCCTTTTAAATTGATTGTATAAAGTGGAGTTTCCCTCCATTTAGTGAACTAAGAGTTCAATAATAAAACTCATTCTCTCTTCTAATGCTTAATCTATTTTTTGAATAACAATAATTCAATATTAACAACAAGCATCGTAAGATGCGCGGAATATGTGGGACCTCACTTTATCCAAGAACCGGTAATTCTAGTCTCCTTTGCATTTCTCAATGTTAAATATGATTGAACCCGCATGAAACGATATATATCGCGGGGACAGTTTTAACCACTCACATTATATAAAGTTTAACATTGCGTCATTTCAGACATTTTCTCATTCATAATCATACTATCATTTTTTTCATTCACTAACTTTAACATTAAAATACTAATCTTACAAGTCTACCACCACCGCTACACCGTATCGGAAGTTCATTTCGTCGCATCAGAACCTTTTCCATTCAATTTCTAGCAATTAATGATTCTAGTTTGAAAGAAAAAATATTGAATTCGAAAAAGTGAAGTCCTGTCTTTGAACTTAGTATTTGATCAAACAACTAAATTGCATGGAGAATAATCCGAACCTCATAGAATCCATGTCATATCTTTGACATGTCATAGTAGTTGCATATAGGGTGACAGGACAGGGCATTAAAGTAATTTGACCAACACAGCAAAGTTAATTGGTTGTCATGAATGGTCATGCATGTAATTTAGTTGGAATTTAAAGGCTTATTTGGTTGTACATTTGGAATTATGCATGTTGTATGTGCTGGAATGGTTCCTCAGTTATAAAAAACATTTTATTTATATGTATATGTATCTTTGTGGTTACTTATTTTGAAGAGACAAGTGGCTTTAATTGAGCTCGACTTTGATAGTTATAATAGCTTAAGGTTATCAACCACTAGAGAGAAACAGAGAAATATTTTGAAGCAAAAAAATGGGTTACTGGAAAACAAAAGTTCTTCCTAAGATCAAAAAGGTTTTTGAGAAGAATGGTACTAAGAAAGCTGCTGCAGCTGAGGCTTCTAAGTCCTTTGATGAATCAAAGGTTTGTTTTCTTAACTTTGAAAATGAAACTATAGTTCATATATGTGATGTTGTTTGGTGTTTTGTTTAGGAGGGAATCAATACAGAGTTTGAGGAAAAGAAAACTGAACTTCAAACAAAAGTTCTTGCAGTATATGAGGCTTCTTCAACTGAAATCAAGGTAAGATTATACAATATATAACTATACATATATGTATACATACATATATAGATACACATATATGATACATCACCTCACAGGGTGTGATCAAAGAACGAGATGAAGCAGGGCTAAAGAAGAATTCAACAGAAGTTCAGAAATTCATAGATGAACTTGTTAAAATTGGTAAAGTATTTCTAATTTTCTATCTATATTATTTTTAGATAGAAACCTGTAGCGCGGACATCTCTGAAAAACAGCATGTCCGTGTCTGTGTCAGGATCGGTCATCTGCATCAACACTTACGATTATGTTATTTTAGAAGAAAAATATATTAATAGAATTGTGTGTATATAAATTTCAGATTTTCCTGGATCAAAAGCAGTATCTGAAGCATCTTCAAAATTTGGACCAACCTTAGTTTCAGGTCCAATTTTCTTTGTTTTTGAGAAAGTATCAACTTTCATAGTCACAGAAGAAAAAACTGAAGAAGTAGTTAAAACAGAAGAGGAAACAAGTGGTGTGAAAGATAGGGAAATTGTGGTTGAAGAAGGAAAAAAAGAAGAAACAAGTGAATCTGCAGCAGAGAAGGCTGAGGAAAAGGCTAAGGCTGCAAATGACTCTCTGGCTCCGCCGCCGCCTCCGGCGGAGAAAGAGGAAGAGAAGCCGGTTGAACCAACTCCCGTGGACAAAGTGGAACCACCAAAGGCTTGAAGGTCATAAATGTGTTATGTTGTATATGTGTAATAGTTTGCATATACTCAAAAAAATGTTACATATCAAATTTTCTTATTCTTTTATATATGTAATTGAATTTGCTTTGCTTAGTTTGATGCATGTGAATGTGTATTGTGAATCTCTCATTTTGTAATTTTCATTTTTCATTTTAATGTCAAAGAATTGTGACTTTGGATTGGATCTATTGGTTCTTTTAACCCTTTATGTTTGTTGTTCATTCAATCCTTGTGTTCTGTTTTGGTTGATTTTCATTTTGTTTTTGGGTTCATTTGGCAATAAGTTTATGTACAGGGATCATATAGCAATTACTTTAATATTTATTTTGATAATTGTATTATTGGTGCTAAAAGATCAGGATTAGTTTTTTTATTTTTATTTTTATTTTTTTATTTAATTAATGATGTTGCAAGCAAGCACATAGATTATTATTTATTGAAATTATTATAAAATCTCTCCATCATTGCATCTCAATCTTAGAGACGTGTTAACTGAGCTCACGAAATCAAAATATGTATAATTTAATTAGTCAAATTTTGAGTTTGATATTTATCTAAAAAAATAATAGTAGAGTTGGATATTTATCCAAAAACAAATGGAATTGGATATGTATTGATATATCGTAGGTCCATTCAAAGTGAGATTAGTTAAGTTTGTTTAAATTGCTCTAGAATATTTTTTCCTCAATAGAAATTTCAACCTAGTATTTTCTATAAATTAGACTATTGAAGTTTATTCATGTTTGTTATTACTCGGAACTTTTCTTGTTGATTGGAACAAACTAATAAAATTAAGGGGAAAAAGAAATATTGTCCAAGCCCTTGAGAATGCATGCGACGTGTCTTTGAGTAATTTTTCAAAATCTTACTTTAAAGATATAAGATTGTTTATCAAGAATCCCCTAATGAGTCATACAAGACCAGTGTTGAATGTTGTAAAAATAATTGGCATGAGAGACTTATCACAACCAAAGATAATTCGCCATTACTATCGAGAATAATTCATTTTGATCGATTGTAGTTACAAGATACAGATAATTTGAGTTTAAAATTCTGTTATTAATAGTTAGTTACATGACAATTAGAGGATGAAAGTTAGTTGGTGTTAGTTAGTGCCTTATAGTGCAAGTCATAGCTATATATTATAAACACTTGTAATGTGATCATTGATTCATTGCGAGGTAAGAGAATGTGAATACTCTTTCATTTAATTTCTCATCTCTTCTCAATCATTCTCTTCAAAACTAAGTGTGTGTGCACACGCGCAAGGTCTGATCTATTTTTTCGTCGCTGTGATTTGTGTTGTTGTGCCAGCATTTATGTGTTATTGAACTACGAGAGCGATTGAGCACCCATTCAAAACTTGGAGATATCATATTTAGGTAATGGATTGTATGAGTTTTACTTTCAATGTTAAGAAGATATAAATTGTGTGTGAGAGCGTTGGCACATTGAACATTAAACATGGCTTGTTGTGTTTATCTACATTAACACCTGTTATAATTAACTCAAATTTTTTTGAGAATTCCTAAATAATCTTGATTTTAATAAAGATTATGCGCAACAACTTTAATAAAAAACGAGAAAGAAAGAGTTTAACAAAATCAAAAGAAGAAGATAATGAATTTTAACTACGGAATCTCCGTCCACAAACTGTGGAGAACTTCTTTATTCACTTTTGCAACGGCAAAAACTGTGAATACAAGTTATTACAAAATAGGGGTTGCTCCCTCTATTTATAGATGAGAAAGCCCAAAATCACAAAAGCCCAAAATTACTAATTTTGGTCTTAAGTCGAAATCATGTGTCAAACAACCTGCTTCGGCACTTCGAAATCTAAGCAACTCGACACATACATATTAGCCTAATTCGACTAGTCCTTGTTTCTGTCAAGCTACACTGCTTCGACACAAGGAATTACAAACTCAACACACCACGTAATTTAATGTGTCTAAACTATCTACATTCATCATAGACCTTAACTTCTTGAACACTTCGACTTGCACTCTTTTCATCATGATATCTCCTTGATATTCTCTAGTCTTATGTTCAGATAATTTTGACACAAACACTCACCTTTTAAGAGTTATTGAATGGAAAGTGTGATGAATGGAACCCACAAGGTTTTCGGAGTGACAATCGCCCCTTCTGTCTTTAGTGAGGGATAACCACTGTGAGCTTGTGAGGTACGACCTTTTGAGATGTGATTGATCCTCGAATGGGAACACTCCTTTTGCAATTTGTACGCTTGGTCAAATTAACTGACACCTACCCTCCCCTAGGTTAAGATTGAGGGTTTTCCATTTTCAGAAAGAAACTCCTACTACTAGGCTCAAAGGGGTTAACAAAGGATTATCTTCCTTATATCTCCAATGTTTGGGGATTTGAAACAATGCATGTACATCATTAGTAGGGTTTGATTTCAAAAGCATATCAGAAGTTTTGCGTCTTTCAAATTCGTTATTCTCCCCTGGACCTTGCTTAAACAAGTATTTGACATCAATAAAAAAAAGTATGAGTGAACACAAATGGATTTATTCGAAACATGCATATTCATTTCATTATCATTATAAATCGAAAACAAACAAGTTTTACAAATGAGATTGCACTTTAACGGAAAAGAACTACAAATGCAAAGAAATGACATGATATAAAAGATTGTCAGCTTCAGGGAACTAGGCTTTCCCATCTTGATTTGCTGAGCTAAACATCTTTAGCATTCCTCATCAAAGTTAATCTGATACTCATCTGAACACCTGCTCTCGGTGAATTCCTCCATAACATGGACTGATGAACCCATATGACTGAATGAAGGAGGATTGTTGATTTGAATACCCTGAGGCGTGAAAGAGAACATATTGGAGTCAAGCATAGTCTAAACCTTGCTCTTGAGCACCTTACAATATTCATTCGAATGCCCCAGTTCCTTATAATGGTAGTCACAACGGGAGTTGACATCAAAACCTGGTGGGTATGGAGGAATCACTGGACTTATCTCCTTCGGCACTATCAATCCACCTTTGATCAAATCTGGAAACATCTGACTGTACAATATTGGTAACTGAGTGAAATGCCTCTCTGACTTCCTTGGTCTTTGTCAGACGTGCTGACGCGGCTGACGGTGATATGACCGTTGACTCTGAGGACATCCCTAATCAAGAGAAGAATATCGTCCCTGTGGAGAGAATGGTATCTGATATGGAGACCCAGAAGATTGCTGACTCTGAACAGTTAAAATATCTGAGTATTGAGGATGAGGTATCGAAGATTCCCAGATGGAATTACTTTCTTTCTCCCATTCTTCTTGAGAACTGACAACTGATTCACTTTCACCAACTGAGATGTCTGAGGCGTCTTGAACCTTTCCACTATTGATGTCGCTCTCAATGCGTTCCCCAATTACTTCCAAGTTAAAAAAGTTTAATGCTCCATTACCAATCATCTTATCCAAGTATGGACCTTGCAAAGTACCCACAAACAGGTCAACCAATTCCCTGTCTAGAAGTGGTGGTTGAAAGCGAGCAGCTAACTCTCTCCATCTTTAAGAATACCTTCAGAAGGATTCATTGTCCGCTTGAGATAAGTCTTGCAACTGCATGCGGCTGGGAGCAATGTCAAGATTGTAGCTGTATTGCTTCACAAAGGTGTTGGTTAGTGTTCGAACTGCAGTAAAGCGACAAGAAGCAAAAATTTAGTTTTGAAGGAATTCCCTCCGGGATTTATATCATCTCCACAGGGATCGGTGCGATGAAAGAACGCCATTCAACAGTCTCTATATTTCTAAGCTTGTTGTTCAAAACGTTTGGTTTAAAAGGTTCAAGGAACCATGAATAAAAGGCAGAAAATATAAAGACGATAAATATAAAGTAAAGACAAAAATATAAATGGAGGCTTGTTGGGATTGGATCTCATCAACTGATAACACATGCATTCTTCTAATCATGTTAAACACAACTCAATCATTCGTCTAATATCCTCACGTATCAGCCACAACAGAGGTCACCTCTAACGCAACATCGAGAGAACAACCGTATTGTCTCATTGGTGATGTCTCACGCAACAAAAACATAACACAGAGCATTAAGAACTGATACTCGCGCAAATACTAAGCCTAAATCTATGTCTAGAGTTTAGGACCTAACATGTAACCATCCTAGATCCAGATCTGAAGAGTACATGTTTATAGCAGTTCAAATCAAAGATAAACAAGTAAACAAAGACGACACCCATATCAGATAAACGATTGTTTTAAATAAAACACAATGATTAGAACACGTACATATGCTTAACCCTTTTTACATGTATTCACCTAATCTGTCAAATGGTTATGAACATCGTTCTTCATCACTATTATCACGCACCCGCACAATATCGCATTGATCCTACTCATGCTACTCATGCTACTTAATCAACACAGTAAAATAGAAGATAAAATGAATATCAACTTACAAAACCATGTCAAATTTTTTTTCATTGATAGATGAAAAGGTTTTGTCAAGACTCACAAAATAAATCAAAGACAATCAATCAATAGAGAATCAAAACTAGTTCACAAACATATATTAGATGAAATACATAAGGTATCAAAAGATTACATCTAAACCCCAACAAGAGATTAAAGATCTTACCTCCTCCCTCTTAGGGTTTTGTATTTCTCTCTCTAAAATAAACTTGAAATGAAGAGAGATAAGTTATGATGTAAAAAAATATATCCCCTTTACCTAAAAGGCAAGAAAAGTACTAATATAGTACATTCAGGATCTGTCTTGTTCGCACTACAAACAGATCCTTCGTCTAGCAAACATCAAATTAGGTACCTGAGGTGCCTCTGAACAGTTAAACCTCCCTTGAGACTTTTCCACATATTCGCTGTGCGAGCAATTCTTCGCACTGCGAAGGCTTCGCTAGCTTCTTCGCACAATGAGTTTTAGTCTCTTTTCTCTCTGAGTGAACAGTACCCAGTCTCCCAAGGGTCTTCGC